CCAATCGCCATTCATGTGTGTCACAAATGGAGATAAAATGACTCTTAGGAAGTGCTTGAAAGCAAAGGGCCGGCTCGATTGACGAATAAAAACCCCGTGACTTTCTCATAGCTGAATTTGGGTTTTCAAGGTGGGAATCGAATGTCTCCCGCCCTCTCCCGGCCTTTTACCTCCTTCTAACAAAGAGGGACAACTTGGTTATGTCCTACTACTTCGTGGGGACAGTCTGGAAATTTCTTCCGATCCTGGAGACTAAATTATACAAGGGATGGTTAAAGGGAACCATTAATCCATATATCATCCCGGACAAATGTCTGTCCGAAACATACAAAGAACCACTGCAGGAATTGGGTATGTCTAGTTTAATGAAAAGAGGGGCCTAACGTGAGCGCAAGTCTTCCAATATCTGAGGGGCTGCCACAAAGAGGGGGGGGTCCACCTATTCTCCAAAGCACCTGAGGGCAGCACAAGAAGTGATGGGTGGAAACTAATCAAGGAGAGAAGCAACCTAGAATGAAGGAGAAATTCCCTGACAGTTAAAACAATTAATCAGTGGGACAGCTTCCCGCCAGAAGTTGTGGGTGCTCCGACACTGGACGTTTTCAGAAAAAAAGATTGGACAGCCATATGTCTGGGATGGAATAAGGACTCCTGCCTTGCACAAGGGGTTGGGCTAGAAGATCTCCAAGGTCTCTTCCAGCTGCTTGATTCTAGGGTTCCCCTCTGCTCACTAAAAGCAGATTCCCACCACGTGGTATTTGCTAATAAAAGGGGCCAGTTGATGCCTCCTTGAACCCATCTGGGGGTTCACTGAGCCCTCCTCCCCACTCTCGCTTCCACCTCCTCCTGGTGAAGGAGCCGAGGTGACAAGGCAGCTGCTGCTATGGCCCAGAGCCAAGGCCCCCGGCTGGCACCCCCACGGATGGAAGGGCCGGACAAGATTCGGGGTGGCGGCTGTTGCTTCGGTCTTGAGTGGGGGTGAATTTGGCGGAGAGTGGGGTGCTGAGGCCTGGCCGGCTCAGTCGGGCAGCTGTATGCTGACACGACTGGAGGATGCCCGGTTCAAGTTGGCGTAGATGGGGAACGGTTTTTCATGGATGGCCCATCCGGGTCCCTCCCGCAGGACAGGAAGGCTCCCGGTCACTGTCCAGCTGCTTCTGCAGCCTGCTGGGGCCGAGGCCGTCGTCACTTGTTCTTGCTCTGCTGACCTGAGCCCAGGAGTGGCCCTCTGGCTGCTTTCTGGTCAGTGACCCCGGGCCTGAACCAGGATCTGATTCTTCACGATTCTGCAGCCAAGGCTGACATGGATTTAGGTTGTGTTACAATTTAGATACCCGTCACACGAAGCCGGCAGCTGCATTTTGTAAGCCCAGGTTGAGGAGTGAGTTAGGTGAGCCCAGCAGGTTTCATCAGATGAGAGAGAGAGAGATCTTGCAGCTGCGTCCCCACATTATATTAAGCCTGCATCTGAGAGCTGCAGGCCAGGCGATTCAGGGCTTGGGGTGCCAAAGCACGGTCGCAAAGAGAGGACAACCCCTGGCCTGGAAGAGCTGTTGAAGAGCACCCCGCCAGGGGGCTTGGAGGCCTCCCGGAGGCCCCTCGTGAGCAGGGAAGGACCTGGAGAAAGGGGGAGGATGCTGGGATGGAGCCGGAGACGGACAAATCCAAATCGGCAGGGACGCCTGTCCAGGCATTTCGAGCAGGAGGTGGGGGGGGCGGGCGGGTGAGGGTGATGAGGTGGACTCGGGAGCGGCCTGAGCTGGACCAGAAAGGAGAGGAGGAGGAGGAGGAGGCCGCAGAAAACCTTCATCCGGCAGAGTCTTGCCAAGAGGCTGTCCTGGCCCAGAGCTGGGAAAGGGTCTGGCAGCCGGGGGGAGGCGGATGGATCCCCGCAGGGCAGCCGGTTCTGCCAAGGCTCCCTTGTGCAGCAGAAAAAGAAACCTGGGGGGGGCTGCAACGACCGGCAGAAACGCACCCCTCATTCACCCAAGTAGTCCCACTCCAGGCAGTGCCCCCCCCCCAGCATTTCTCCTGGGGGGGGCAAGGGGCATCATGGATATCTGGGCAGGGCAAGGGTTAAATTCCATTTTACTCACATCCCGAAAAAATTCCCACCCCAAACGCAGGGCTGCCTTGTCCTCCTAGTGGAAGCTGATCTCAGAAATAGGTTTGGAAAGAGGGGGGGGCAAGCTGGTAGACAATTCCCCCCCCCCCGCCAGAGGGAGCCAGCCAATGCCCAGGGTGGGCAGGGGGAGAAGAGAAGGGCAGGAACCAAAGGGGTCCCGAAGCATCCCAGTCCTGTGGCTGGGGCCATTGGGGGAGGTTTAAGGGTGGGAGATTATTTGGTTCTGGCAATAGAGGAGTCCTGCTCCCACCCACCCCCCACGCCCCTACTCAAAGAGGGCCACTGTTTTGGGGAGGCCCATTCCAGGGGTTGCCCGTTCTTCAGACTCCCATCTACAAGGATTTAGGCCAGTCATCAGGCCAGTCATCCCCATTTTGTCCAGGCCAGTTTCAGGGAGGGGGGTCTGCTTGCTGAGGGGTCTGCTCAATGGAAGCCATCAGGCAGGAAGGAGGTGATGACCACTTGGCTTTGGGGAACCGCCTGGCTTGAGAAGCTCCGGTCAGATTTCAGGCTCTTAAAATCCCACGCCAAACGCAAAACGTCCTCTCCGAAAATGAAGATGAACTCGGTGTTGTTTTTGTAGCCAGAAAACACGTGACGATTCCTGCTAACAGCTTCTTCACGCTTGTCCCTGGAAGGCCCTGGTGGGAGATTCCTGCAGAATCGGCCTTCTGTGACTCTTGCAAACAGGCTCTGTCCAACGTGCAAGTGCCAAAGCTCCTTGGACCCGGCTCCTTCACAGCTTGTAGGCTGGATGCTTTTCACCGTGGCTTGTTTTAAACTCGGAGAGCCTGGCTCAAACACAGTGACTGAGTTGACGCTTCAGTGTGGGCTGAAAATCAGGCACTGGCCAAGACTGTGGATCCAGGAGATTTAGTGGCGGTCACAGCTGGGCAGACGGTTTCCTGCCCAGCCGTGTCCAGAGATTGGCAGCCTTTCTTTGCCACTACAGCAAGGCAGATGACCACTAGGCCCACTAAGGCCCATCTTGATCTCCGGTGTTGTTGGAGACTCTGGAAAGAGCGCAGAGAAGAGCGACAAAGATGATCAGGGGACTGGAGACTGAAAGATACAAAGAAGAAGGATGGCTGGAATTGGGGATGTCCAGTTTAATGAAGAGAAGGACTAGGACGTGACATGATAGCAGTATTCCAGTATTTGAGGGGCTGCCACAAAGAAGAGGGATCAACTTATTTTCCAAAGCACCAGAAGACAAGACAAGAAACAACAGATGGAAACTGATCAAGGAGAGAAGCAATCTGGAATCAAGGAGAAACTTCCTGACAGTGAGGACAATTAACCAGTGAAGTTGTGGGTGCTCCATCATTGGAGATCTCCAAGAAGAGATTGGACAGCCATTTGTCTGGGATGGTATAGGGTCTCCTGCCTGAGCAGGGGGTTAGACTAGAAGACCTCCAAGGCACCTTCCAACTCCATTTTTCCGTTAACAATCTGAAGTCCCAAAATCCTGTATCTTCCTCTGAAGCCCTTCCCTGTTTTCATTAGCCAAGTGAGACGATTCCAATATTCTGGCTGAACTTCATTTTATGAGGAGGAGATAGAAAAGTGGGAGATAGTAGTCCGGCATCCTCTGCCCCCAGATGGGGTGTGGGCTCGGGGTCCTGCAAATGGTGCTGGTGGAACGTCCAGCAGCCCAGCTCGTGTGGCCGTTGGCCAGCTTGTGTGGCCCCAGGGCCCCCATCTGGTCCTTGGGGGGGGCAGCTGAGTTGGGAGGCTCTTTGGCTGGACTCTTGTCAGGAACCCAAACGGCTGTGGTCGTGTCATGGGTTGAGTTTGTGCAACATAAACCTGGCTACTGAATTAAGCCCGTTTTCTGTGTACACCCAACGCAGTGAATCATGAATTCCCCAACACACTAGACACCTAAGCTGTGGTTTTTCAGCTTCTAGAACTTCAACTCACTCAGTTAGGTTGCCTTCTGTGAACACAGCCAGTGGGAGGGCAGCCCTGGGGATCGCTCCCCCAGGGGTTGGGGGCTCATGCTGGATCCAGGTTGCGTCGTAATCACTAGATATGACCTCTTGCTTATGGGCAGAGGTAGCATGGAAAGGCCTCACCTGGCAGTGAGTTGCTGGGGAGGGAGGAAGCCTCTTTGAAGGGGGCGGGGGGGGGGGGCAAGGAAGGATGGATCCTGCCCAATAAAAGGCAAGGACAAGTAAGGAGAGCCGGTCCAAAGACTGGGAGGGGCACAGGAGCCCTTGAAGTAGAGCGTACCAAAAGCATTTCAGGGACAGGAAGTCAGGACCACCTTCCCTTCTCTTAAAACCAAACTGTTCTCTTAAAACAGGTGGAGAACGATGGCCCCTTTATGACTTGTGGACTTCAACTCCCAGAATTCCTGAGCCAGCCACTCGTGGCTGGCTCAGGAATTCTGGGAGTTGAAGTCCACAAGTCATAAAGGGGCCACCGTTCCCCACCTCTTGTCTTAAAACAAAATCCGAGAAGCCGGAAGGGGCCAAAGTTAATCTTCTGAGCGCTTGACTCAAGGAAGGTGGGGAGGTTTCTCCTTTCCCAGCCGGGACGCTTGGGGTCCTTCCGGTTCTGGGACCAGCTGAGGAAAGGGAAGGCCAGAGGTTGCTCAGCTCTGACTTAGGAAGGTCCCTCAGCGGTTGGGAAGACTTGGGAACCTCCTGCTCTCCAGAACCGGTGCGCTTGGGGAGAGGAAGAGGGTGCTCCGTCCATCTCTGAGGAGCTCCGCACGGCGACCGGGGCACCCGATTCTCCTCCTGCCAGGCTCCCTGGGCCTCCCTTGCGGGCACTCCCCACTCTGCAGGACAGCCTAGTTCCCCCTTGATAGGGCAGGGTGGTCGAGGGCCGGCCCAGCTAACCCGGCGTGGCGTGTCTGACTTTGCAGAGAAGCTGGACGAGATCCTGGCAGCAGCTGAGCCCTCGCTGAGACCAGACCTGGTGGAAGCAGATTCCCGGGCAGCCACCGTGAAGCAGAGACCGACCAGCCGGCGCATCACCCCTGCGGAGATCAGTGTGAGAGGACTGGGCTGGGGGCTGCGCCCTGAGAGCAGGTTGAGGAAGGGCCGGGACCTCTGCTGAGGCCAGCTGGGCCTGGACCGGTTTCCTCTGCGGCCACATGGACGATGCAGGCCGAAGGGCCACCTGGCGGCTCCATTGAGCCGGCCTTTGGAGGACCAAAACGTTGGTCCGGGTCAGAAGGCCACTTAAGTTTCCAGAGTAGAGAATAATAATGATGATGATGATGACGATGGAAGGGACCTTGGAGGTCATCTAGTCCAACCCCCTGCTCAGGGAGGAAGCCCTATACTATTTCAAACAAAGTCTAATTTCAGCTAGGCTAAAGCTGGCTGCCCTAGCCCAGGGGTAGTCAACCTTGGCTCTTTTCTGACTCGTGGACTTCAACTCCCAGAATTCCTCAGCCAGCCTGGCTCAGCTTGGAAACCTCTCCCTTTCCCCTCAGCATGGCTGGCTCAGGAATTCTGGGAGTTGAAGTCCACCAGTCATAAAAGAGCCAAGGTTGCCTACTCCTGAGCTAGGCTGTCCCTTCAGCCTTTCCCAGTTTGGGGGGAGGGGATGACTCATAAAATTCCCAGCCATTATGGCATAATGCCAAGTACAGGTAGTCCTCAATTTACAACAGTTCTTTTAGTGACCATTCTAAGTTACAACGGCGCTGAAAAATGTTGAGTTATGACCGTTTTTCACACTCGTGGCATTGCCCCCTCCCCCCGTGATCACGTGATCAAAATTCAGGCGCTCGGCAACGGGTTTGTATTTCCGACGGTCACTGTGTCCCCAGGGGTCACGAGACACCCTTTTTCCCCCTTCTGACCAGCCACGTGCATGGAGATTCACGTGGCCAGATTCACTTAGCGGCCGTGTTGTTAACTCAGCAGCTGCAGGGATCCACTTAACGAAGGAAGAAGAAAGAATTTGGATCACGTGACCCGCGGGGAGGCTGCAACGGTCGCGAGTGTGAAAAACGTTCCTAAGTCAGTTGTTTCAGTGCCATTGCAACTTCGAACGGTCACTAAACGAACAGTTGTAAGTCCAGGGCTGCCCGTAGGTGGTCCCGGGGGGGGGCCTGGCGGTCCCTCCTGGCCCCCGGTGCTCAGGGGAGGGGGGCCGCCGTGGGACTGGCCATGTCTCCTCTTTCTCTTGCAGTCCCTCTTCGAGCGCCAGGGGATGGCGACCCACGCTGGGCCCGAGAAGCCCCACGTCTCCCTCCGCAAAGGCCTCCCGCGGACCAAGTCTGTAGGTAGGTGGGGTCTCCTCTGGCTCTCCCGGGGGCCCCGAGGGCAGGGGCGGCCTCAGCCCAGACTGTGCAGGGAGTCCCCGGCTCACGACCACAACTGGGCCCAAAATTTCCGTTGCTAAGTGAGACATTGGTTAAGTGAGTTTTGTCCCATTTTATGACATTTCTTGCCACGGTGGTTAAGTGAATCTCTGCAGGTGTTGAGTGAGTCACATAGTTGTTAAGTGAATCTGGTTTCTCCATTGACTTTGCTTATCCGAAAGTCGCAAAACGGGATCACGTGACTCCGGGACACCGCGACCGTCCTAAATGTGAGCGGGTTGCCAAGTAGCTGAATTTTGATCACGTGATTTTGATCATCTGGGGAGGCTGCGGCGGTCGTAAGCGTGAAAAACGGTCACGAGTCACTTTTTCCAGTGCTACTATAACTTTGAGCGGTCACTAAATGAACTGTTGTAAGTCAAGGGTTACCTGTACACCAGCCTGTCGCTGAGGTCACCTGGTGCAGCTGTTGGCTTGGCTGGCCGATGCCCCCTGGAGCCGGTCTCAGGCGACACCCAGGTGAGGTGCTTGTCCCCAGGTGACCTGCACGAATGGCAGGCACTGTTGTGGACAGGTCAGTTTCCCTGACTAAGCCGTCTTCCAGGTGGGCTACCTTGATTATGGGAACTCGGGCTGCTGTTTCCCAGGTGCAGTCGAGGCTTGCAAGGCACGGCTCCCCCTCCACCTGGGCTCTCCTTAAAATAAATCAGCCTCTGGATGTCCGGTTTGGGAACAGCGTCCCCGTGGAAAGGACCCCGTGGCTCTGAGCCGGATCCCAAGGATTTGTCCCCAGGGTGCAGAGGATCCCAGGGACCAGGCCGGTGCGTCTGCTGTTCACTGGGCTGATTTGTGAGCAGGGTTCCAGCAACGCGAAGCACAAATTCACAGAAGGAAACGGGGGCATCTGCCTGTTTATACTTCGCCTAGCAGGACATCAGCAGAGCGAGTGTGAAAAATATCAGCGTTTCAAACAAGGCATGGGGAAAAAAATATCTCCGGGAAATTGTCCTGCTGGAGCTGAAAATAGTTCAGCGCCCTGGAATGAAGAGGCCACCTGTAAGGTTTCCGTTTAAATGGTTGCAGCAGGTGGAGAAGGAGAGGCGGCACGTCCTGCTCACGGCCGTGGGAGAATTCCAGCTGGACGCAAGAGCAGAAGAGGAAGCTGGGGGGGGGGCAGGCAGAGCCGTGGGGCGGGGGTCGCCGTGGGGCTTCTGGTGACACTTGGGGGGCTGCTGCTGCTCCTCTGTCACCTGCCAGTGCTGCAGGGCGCCTCCCTTCCGGGAGAGATGCCAGTCCCCCCGCCCGTGGGTGGGAAAATGTTCTGGGCACAACAACAGCTGACAAACGGCAGTGATTCACAGCCCGGGAGCTTCCGAGCAGGTTTTTGCTCTGCTTGATGCGGAAACATGTCGGGGGGGAAGCAGCGAGGCAGGAGCGCATCTCTGGTGGAACTGAGGCCAGAATTAGACCCTCCGAGGGACGCTAAGGGAAGAAAGGGCAGCGAGAAGGAAGTGGGGGGGGGAGCCAAGGGGGTCTTTATTGTGAAGTGGAGGAATGCAGGATGGATCGCGTGGCAGTTGTAAGCGTTGGGCCCAAGGATCGGGCTTGCCATAATGCAGGGGTCTACAAACTTTGCAGCTTTGAGAGGCGGACTCCCAGAATTCCTCAGCCAGCATCAAGGCTGGCTGGGGAATTCTGGGAGTTGGAGTCCACGCAGCTTAAAGTAGCCCAGGTTGAGAAAGACTGGTTTAGACTGCTTTCGATTAAGCAAGGTGGAACCTGGCCTGGGGATACAGCTTTGACCTTCTGGACATCTCCATGATTCGAACACTTGCTGCGAGATGGTGTCCAGAAGGGTCAGTTCTACAAGGTGGACCCGACTAAGAAACCAACACCTTGTAGGTCAGGGCGACTTTCACTTTACACAATTACAGCGACGGAGCCTTGCCAGTTTGAGTGTGTTACTCCTTCCCTGCCTTTATCTCTGTGAGAACCGGGGAAGGAGCGCTTGAGACGTCTCCCCAAGTTCCTTTCGTGGCCTGGTCTCAACCCTCACTCATCGGACCGTCGCCTTGGCTCTTCCCTTTCTCATCGTCCTCTACGGTGGTCAAAGCTGTGGCTTTCCAAGTCGTGACGTGTGGCTGCGAGAGGTGGACCGCGAGGAAGGCTGAGTGCCAAAGAATTGCTACTTTCAAATTGTGGTGCTGGAGAAGACTGCGAGGAGGATCCAATCAGTTGATCCTAAAGGAAATCAACCCTGTTTTTGGAAGGACAGATATGGAAGGTGAAGCTCAAATGCTTTGGCCACATAATGAGAAGGGAGGACTCCCTGGAGAAGACCCTGATGTTGGGAAAGAGGGAAGGCAAAAGGAGAAGGGGACGGCAGAGGAGGAGATGGGTAGATGGGGTCATGGCAGTGGACATGAATTTGGGCAAACTTTGGGAGACAGTGGAGGATGACGGGTGGGGGGGCTGGCAAGCTATGGTCCCTGGGGTCACAAAAGAGTCAAGAAATTGCCCTCTACATCAGTGTGGTGCTGGGGGGGGGCACAACAGTTTTGACCTGTTTGACCACAAGCCACCATCATGCACCTGAAACTGCCATGGAAGGCCATCCAGAATTCCCTAGTGGGACGCCATCATTGTGTTGACGAACTCAGATCTTGCTCTTCATCGCTGAACCCCAAGGAAGCCCCATCACTCTTGAACGTTGCCTGTGTGCAGAATGAGGCTGAACAAACTGACGTTCAGTTCAGATAAGACTAAAGTGTGGTTGACATTGGAGGATTCAGTCTCCTCCTCCTCCTCCTCCTCCTCCTCCATGTATGACCAAATACCATAAAAGACCAGCCTACAACACAATAACTAGAAAAAGACATTTTAAACTTGTGGTGAGAATATCAGAAATCACGGAGGAACTAACAGCTAGTACCAGATGGCTTCTAACAGCTCCGGTTACTGATAGAATTTTGCATTCTTGGCAAAGGTTTCTGGAGAGTGGTCACCCAAGAGAAGGGGGATCTTGCTGTGATGTCTGCCACCCCATTGATCACCATGATTGATTCAGCTCAGTGGCTGTTCCCTTCCTCAGTACTCTTGCGGGCCCTTCCTGAAGCTGAGGAAGAAGATGACCATCCCGGTAGAGGTTCACCAACCTTTAATCAAAGGTGTATGATGACCGCTCTTCTGCTGGAACCTCCAAACAAGCTCAAGGTCCATTTGTAGGAGAACGTAAGGGGGTTCTCTTTTGGACAGAGTTACCCAGTTTATTTTTATTTTATTCATTTGTTGATTTATAGTGACTCAGGAGGACTTACACCATCGAGAGAGAGAGATAAACATCATAACCGGAAAAGAGATCCAGAAAAGATCTCTCCAACTTAACAAAGAAAATCAAGAGGGACTCAATAACCGCTGTAACCCAAGGCCTGGAGGAGAAGTCACCTTTCTGACAACCATTTGAAGGAAGGGAGACTAGGAGCCACGCAAATCTCGGAAGAAAAGCCGTTCCAGAAGGCCGGAGAAGTGACCCAGAGGCTTCGATCAATAAGGTCTGGCATTTGCCAGCGCCCTGACTGGATGGGACCAACACGGCCCTCTCCTCTCAGAATTCAAGGCAGGGCGAAGGGACCTTGGTGCCCTCTGAGCCGGGTTGATTTCCTGCAGGCGCTTCATGACCCAAACTAGGTAACACCAGTGCTAGCGATGGCAGTGGGCACAACCCTGTTGCCTTCCAGCTGTTCCCAGCAAGAACCAGTGGGGCAGGGCGGGCGGAACGGAGAGCAGCCAGCTTCACCATATGGGTCAAGGGTCACCAGATTCCCAAGTGGGGTCTGAGGACAGGAGGGCTGTTGCCCAGTTAGGCCGGCTGTGTCCCTTGCAACCCTTGCCCCCCAGCTGGCTGTGTTGGGAGAAGGATGTCCCCCCGTCTTGGTTCCCCACCCACCCACCCTCTCTATGGAAATGCCACCGCAGCGGGCTGTTCTCGGGGTCCAATCCCAGGAGTTGCTTATTACTTATAGAGACCTACAAGGCAGAGGGCCGGGCTGCCAAATGCAGCCTGGCAACCAAATGTAGGTTATCGTGTTCCTCGTAGCTACGTCTGGTTGTGAAAGTTGGGCCTTAAAAAAGCAAGAGAGGAAGAACATTGACCCATTTGGGCCAGGGTGCTGGAGAAGGCGCCTGCTTCTTCCTTGGACAGCAGAGGGGACCAACAAGCAAGTCCCGGAGAGCGTAAGACCAGACGCGTCACTGGAAGGCAAAAATCACAAAACTGGGTCTCAGTTACTTTGACCACGTCAGGAGGAGTGAATTCACTGGAGAGAGCGATTATATTGGGAAGAGTTAGTGGTCAATGGAAACCAGGCCACCAATGAAGAGGGTGTGGCTGGACACCGTCAAAGCTGACGCCAGCCAGAGCACAGAACGACTCAAAGAAGCAGAGCAAGATGGGAAGATGTGAGGAGGATCGCTGAGAGTCGGACACAACCACCGAATGGAGAACAGCAGCAGCAGCAGCCCTTACAGAAGCGGCTTTGCCCCATCGGTTCGCCTATCCCAGTTGGTCAGGCAGGGAAGGTAAGCTGCGGACCGCGTCAGTCAAAGAATTTCGACCGGGGGGTGTGTGTCTAAGAAGAGGGTCTTGTCTGCTGCTGGCCCTGCATTGTGGAACATCTTACCCTCAAGAGGTGAGGAAAGCTCCCGATCCCTTGGCCCTCCGCAGAGATCAAAACCTGCCTTTGTAGCCTTGTGTGGGGGACACAAGAGCCCACACAACCATGGGGCTGACGGGGGCTGCGGCATGTCAGTAACCGGTCCGCACAAACAAGCAAAGCCCCATCTGTGGGATGCAGACAGCACACAAAACCACGTACCCTCCGGTCTGCGGAAAAACCACGGAACCGGTCCCTGGTGCCCCAAAAGGTTGGGGGCCTCTGCTCTAACACTTTCCTGCAGCCCCCCCCCCGTAGCCCCCATTTCCTAGCTCGTGACTGCATACACAGATGCCTCCTTTGAATGGTCTAGTGGGGGACTTCATTACAGGTAATTTTTTACGTACAACCCCTCGTTTAGTGACCGTTTGAAGTTACGAGGGCACTGGAAAAAGTTACTTACGATCACTTTTCATTCTTATGTCCGTTGCAGCCTCCTGATGGTCACGTGATCAAAATTCTGACCCTTGGCAACTGACTCGTATTTATGACGGTCGCAGTCTCCCGGGGAATCACATGATCCCCTTTTGTGACCTTCTGACAAGCAAAGTCAAGGGGGAGGAAGCCGGATTCACTTAACAACTGTACGACCTAACAATTGCAGTGATTCACTTAATAATGGTGGCAAGAAAAATTGTAAAGTGGGAGAAAATTCACTTAACAACTGTCTCACTTAGCCACAGAAATTTTGGCTCAACTGTGGCCACAATTCGAGGACTATCTGTATTCCCCAGGCTGCTCTATGAAAGAGTGTGTCATTGTGGCAATGTTACTATGACTGTGACATACTTTGCATCCTTTGTGCAATGGCCTCCTTGCATAAAGGTCAAGAAGGGCAGTGGGAGGTGGGGTCCTGGGCATAGGGGGCCGCTGGTGCTGGTCCATCAGAATCCCCCTCGAGAGGGCTGATCCCAGCAGAGGCCACGGCTGCACTCGGCGCCACGAAGATCCCCAGCACTGCCTAGAAGGCGCAGCACAACTGCACACGGCGTTTGTTCCACAGGGCCTTTGTGCGTTGTGCTACCCTGGGCAGGAGACACAGCTGGCTTGGTTCTGCTTAGCAACATCATTTTTTAGGTGCCAGACTCCAGAGGAGTACGAATCTCTGCCCACGGTGCAAAGGGCTCTTTGCAAGAGATTCGGTGAAAATTATTTCCCCTTCATTGCCCTTCCCCAACCTCCCAGGCACCTCAGCCTGCCTGCTCTGCGCCTTCCCAGTTAGCGGTCCTGGCCATCGGTCTGCAGCCGTGGGTCTTCCTCCCGTGCCCGTTTCTGGCTCAGGAATTCCAACCGCTAAAGAATATTTATGGCTCAGGGTTGAAATGAGAGGTCCTCGGTGTGTCTCTGAGCTTGGTTGTTTTATTGCAGACGTTTTATGACCCAACTAGGTAACGTCATCAGTGCTAGAAGGGAGTGGTGAGGAGAAGGAGGAGGACTGTAGGGTCCTCAGTGATCTCTTGAGCTTCATTGTTTTCTTGCAGACGTTTCATTACCCAACTAGGGAACATCATCAGTGCTAGAAGGAGAGGGGTTCACTCTCTGTTTATGTACTAATGCAGTGGTTCTCAACCTGTGGGTCGGGACCCCATTTGGGGTCGATCGACCATTTCATGGGGGTCGCCAAACAAGGCTGTCCGCCATTTTTTTTGTCCGCCATTTTTCCCCCCTTTCCGGCGGGTGCCTTACCTCCCTTGGGCTGGGCCAGCTGGTGGTCGGCCTGCTCCGTCTCTGCCACTTGCCAGCTACGCCTCGGCCGGCACAGGGGGCGGAGCCACGCATGCGCAGCGCTCCCGGGCAGGGAAAGTCCTCGACTTACGACCGGTTGGGTAGTCCTTGACTTACGACCGGTTTAGTCCTCGACTTACGACCGGTTTAGTCCTCGACTTACGATCGGTTTAGTCCTCGACTTATGACCGGTTGGGGTCGCGGCATTAAAAAGGTTGAGAACCACTGGACTAATGGCTCCCCCTGTCACTGTTGGGGGCGGTGTTCTTGATGGTTCCCTGATTAGGCCGTTCACTCCCTGTAGCACTGATGATGTTACCTAGTTGGGTCAGGAAACATTTGCAAGGACACAGCCCGGTTCAGAGAGCACCAAGGACCCCTCAGTTCCAACTGCCTAAGGTGCAGCTGCCAATAGGCACCACGAGCCTTGCCTCATTTGCAGGCTTTGTAGTCCATCTTGATGGCCAAAGGGAGAGAAGCATTGTTTTACCTCCCGAAGGAGCTGCAACTTTTCCTCTTTTGCTGTTTTTTAGGCGAAGATGAAAAATTTGTGGCTTCCCTAATGGATGGAAAATTTCCCCGGAGTACGTCAATGCAAGATACTGTCCGAGAGGGCCACGGCATTCCGCCCCCACCACAAACCGCTCCTCCCCCACCCCCCTCCCCCTACTACTTCGACACGGGCCCACCCCCTTCCTTCTCCCCGCCCCCACCCCCAGGGAGGGTCTACGACACCGTCCGGTCCAGCTTCAAGCCAGCCTTGGAGGCCAAGCTGCACGGGCTGCCACCAGTGATCAGTGCAGCCGAGATGTATGATCAGGCCAGGGCCGGCATCCCCTACCCCGAGCGGCAGAAGCGGGCCCGCTCCATGATCATCCTGCAAGACTCCTCCCATATCCCCGTGGAGCCCACCGACATTCCCCGGCCAGGCCCCTCAGCCACCCCGCCCGAGAAGCTGAAGCGGAAGGGCCGCGGGGCGGACAACCCCTACGCCAACATGGGCCAGTTCAACATCAGCCTCTTTGCACCCACCAAGCCCCAGCGCAAGAAGAGCCCCCTGGTCAAGCAGCTGCAGGTGGAGGACGCGCAGGAGCGGGCGGCACTCTCCGTGGTGGGGGGTTTTCCCCGGGAACCCTCCCCCACCCGGCGGGGTCACCGCCTGAGCGGGATGGAGTTCCCCTCCCAGCAAGTAGACACCGCCAGCCTGCCCTTTGCCACAGCGGTCGCGGGGGCCATGAAGGACCGAGATCGGCGCCTCGACGAGAAGCGGAAATCCACTGTCTTCCTTTCCGTGGGGGCCATAGAGGGGAGCCCCCCCACCATAGACATGCCATCACTGCAGCAATCCCGGTCCATCGACGAGCGTTTGCTGGGGAGCCGGGACGTTCTCCTGCCTTCCCCCGTCTCCGCTTTAAAGCCATTCCTCAGCAGTTCCTCTTCGACGTTCATACACCCCCTGACAGGGAAGCCCCTGGACCCCAACTCCCCCCTGGCACTGGCGCTGGCCGCAAGAGAGAGGGCCCTCTCCACCCAAGTCTCCTCCAGAGGGGCCACCCCCATCCACAGCCCTGACTCCGACCGGGTGGCGCCCTTGTTTGTGGACATCCAAACCAAAGACCAAGAGAGAGGCGAGCTGGAAGGCCGGGGATCTCCCGCGTATTCTCCAGGAGCCAAGGTGGCCACCCCCAGCTCTCTAACCCCCACCCAAAGCTCCTGGGGGATGCCCGGAATCGCAAGGAAAGAGGGCGAGGCACGAACTGTGACCCCGGTGAAGGAGATGGAGAAGAAAGTAGAGGACAAGAAGGGCATGATCCTCAGCATTGTGGATACCTCGCAGCAGAAGATGGCCGGCCTGATCATGGTGCACGCGACAAGCAACGGCCAAGAGCTCGGCTTTGATGTGCAGGAGGAGAAGACCCCCATCCCAGAGGCGGGCCCAGAGCCAGCGGAAGTGTCCATGGCGGAGGCTCAGCCCAGTCCCGTGGGGAAGGCGCCCGTCAGCCCAGCCTTGGACAAGACTCTCGGACAAGGGAGTTCGGAGGAGGAAGTAGAGACGTACACGGTCACTCTGCCGCCTGCTCAGCTGTCCTCGAGCGATGAGGAAACCAGGGAGGAGCTGGCTAAGATTGGCCTGGTGCCGCCACCCGATGAGTTTGCGAACGGGGTACTGGTCACCACCGCTGGCACACCTATCAGCCAACTGGCTGCTCCAGCCATCGCCCCGCCATCCGTGCCAGCGGCAGCGGTCCCACCTTCTACCATGGGTGGAACACCCTCAGGGAAGCCTTCTGATGCCCCCACCGCCCCGGAGTCTGCCGCAGACTCAGGAGTGGAAGAGGTGGACACCAGAAGTTCAAGTGACCATCACCTGGAGACCACAAGCACCATCTCCACTGTCTCCAGCATGTCCACGCTGTCCTCCGAGAGCGGGGAGCCCACCGACACCTACACCTCCTTTGCGGATGGGCACACTTTTGTATTCGAGAAGCCGCCAGTGCCTCCAAAGCCGAAACTCAAGTCCCAGACCAGCAAGGGGCCGGTAACCTTCAGGGACCCACTTTTGAAGCAGTCCTCGGACAGCGAGCTCATCTCCCAGCAACACGCGGCCATCCTGGCTTCCGCCAGCATCGGCCGGCCACGCTACCTCTTTCAGCGAAGGTCCAAGCTGTGGGGGGACCCCCTGGACAGCAGGCCCATCCACGGGCCGGAAGATGACAAACCAACTGTGATCAGCGAGCTCAGTTCCCGGCTGCAGCAACTGAACAAGGACACGCGCTCCCTGGGGGAGGAACCTGCCGGTGGCGTGTTAGACCCTGGAAAGAAGCCTCCCGTGGTGGCAGCACGGTAAGACCTCCCCCCGCCCTCCCCCCAGCCAGACTACAAAGAGGGGGCTGCAGGGGGCCTCCTGCCCTGGTCAGGAGGGGCCTTCCACTGACCCTTCCCCAGCATCGCAGTTTTCCTTGGCCAGGCAGGCGGCGGTCCAGGACCCCACTCAGGCCCCCTTCTTCCAGAGGGGGAAGATGCCAGAATGACATTTTAGGACTTGTCCCCATCTAGGTCCTGGGGGGGGCAATGGGGATCCCCTCACCCCATCCCGAGGCACGAAAAGCGCCCTTGTTTTCCTAGATACAGGCAGTCCTTGACTTACAACAGTTTAGTTAGTGACCGTTCAAAGTTACGACGACACGGAATAAAGTGACTTACCGCCATTTTTCACAGTTACGCACTTTGCAGCATCCCCATGATCACGTCATCAAAATTCAGACCCTTGGCAATTGACTCGTGCTTATGACGGTCGCAGGGTCCTGGGGGTCACGTGGTCCCCCTTTGCGACCTTCTGACCGGCAGAGTCAAGGGGGGAGCCAGATTCACTTAACAAGCAGGTTACTGATTTAAGCACTGCTCTGCTCTGAATAACTTGGATCACAAACACCCTCCCCATACACACACACACACACACACAAACAGACCCCTCTTCCCCTCCCCTCCTTTGGCCAGAGACAGCAATAAGAAGACCAGCCGAGATCCCCCAGCAGATTCCTTTAGTGACCGACATGTTTCTTCACTGAACGCTTCGGGCAGTGCAAATATAGGCCAAGATTTCCTTCTAAGAAGTCATTTCTAGCTTGAGCCCCCTCTGGCCCCCTGGGGATTTAGGGCCCAAATGCCCCAGCCATCCCTTTGAGGGGTCTCCCAACCTCAGGTGCAGCTGGAGTCGGAATCCATTGGAGATAAGAGCCAGGGAGGAGATGGGCCGTTGGATCCCACTGCTAGCGGGCAGAACAGCAGGTCCCTGTCGTCAGAAGAGGAAACCATGATGGCTTGCACTCTTGTTAGGATCCCCTGCGTGGGAAGGTTTGGCCACCTTAACAGCCTTGGAAAGTTCTAGAAGGAGACTGATGACCTCTCAGGGGGTCCCCCCGCATTGAAAGGACTGCCGTGTTTGGGGGGGGATACCCTTCCATTTGAGACCCTTGCTGCACTGCATAGAACCGGGGTGGGCAACTGTGGCCCCTTTACGGCCTGTGGACTTCAACTCCCAGAATTCCTGAGCCAGTACGGTTGACTGAGCGATTCTGGGAGTTGAAGTCTTCAAGTGGACAAGGGTGGACATCCCAGAGTTTCATCTGGGTCCAAGTCAGCTTCCCCCCCCCCCCAGTTTATCTAGAAGTGTAATCTGTAACCTGTCTGTGGGGGGGGGGAGGTTGGGGGGAGAGCAGGAGGGGGAAGAGGGGGAAGGAGAACAGAAGAGAAGGATTTGATTGATGTGGTTTGTGCTTGGAAAACCCACCACTGCTTTGTGTTCTTACAGATCTGACAGAGACATTGAAGAGAATTAAGCCTTTTAAGCCTTTTAGCCTCTCTAGGGTAAAATTTCCTCTTTCTCTGTATCCCCGCTAAGTAATTGTCAGCTGAAGCTATCATATCTGGTCTGAGCTTCCAACTAAGGCAATTAACACCTTACCAATTTCCTTGTAGGCGTTGTTGCCACGGTCTTACACACCCCGAGGTCTGATCCCAAACGTGGACAAATTGAGGGCAAATGCCTCTCTTAAGGCAGCTTCTTCTCTACCTGTTGGATGCCTGTCTGGAGGAGGGTCTTCCGGGATCAAGACATGTATTTGGGCCACAGGAGTCAGATAGAGGCTTGGCAGCACTAAGTTCTTCGCTCTATTTGACTGCGTTAGACATTTGTTGGTCTAGGGCGGGGGCCTCCACACTTGGCCACTTTAAGACTTGTGGACTTCAACTCCCAGAATTCCCCAGCCGGCTGCCAGGTTTGGAGACCCCTGGTCTGGCATGCTGAGAGCACATCCGCCCTGTGCATTGAGTCCCTGGGCAGAGAGCCTCATTCTTTATCACTGCAGGAGATGCATTGAAGTATCCATAGACCTGATTTAATATTTCCATGCCAGATCAATAATTCTTCTGCAAGGGCACTATACAACCATTGACCATAATACACACACACACACACAAGAAGCCTCTCTAGAGAGCTCAAAGTAGGCATTTCCAGACCCACTGAAAAAATGCGTATCCCATCTGTGTGCCTAATGGGAGTCCTTCCCAGGCCAGAAACCAGTTTGGGGGTTACCTTGTCCCACTGGTCTTCTCCAGCCTGGGGCCCTCTGTGGGGTGGGACCCACTGAATTCCCTAACATTCCCCCCTATTCCTGGCAGGCAGGGCTAAAGAAGACGGAACTCCACCGCTGATGGAAGAAGGGACCTGCAGTATTGGTGGGTGAGGCAGGGCCCTCTCTGGGTGGTGCCCTTTCACGAAAACCAACTTCGCTAGGGATGCCCTCGTCATCCTTGACATGGAGTTTATCCATGGTTCTCGTGCCGTAGATACCTCTGGACAGGCCCATGAACCCACCTCATTATGTACAAAACTGATCCCCAAACAAAGAGCTGGGGTGGAGCCACAGTGGTTAGAGTGCAGTATTGCAGGTTAGACTCTTCCCACTGCCAGCAGTTCGATCCTGACCAGCTCCAGGTTGACTCAGCCTTCCATCCTTCCGAGGTTGGTAAAATAAGGACCCAGATTGTTGGGGGCAAGAGGCTGACTCTGTAAACCGCTCAGAGAGTGTGATAAATGCACCGTGGAGCGATATATAAGTCTTAAGAGCTATTCTATTGCTATCTATGCCCCACCCACCTCCGCATGGAGTAATTCATATTCTCCAGGAAACCGGGTTTTGACAGAGAGTGCGCACTGCCTACAAGGATACAGGGGTAAGAGGGCCATTGTTGCTCACAAGTCATGGCATGCATTTATGACTGATTGATCGCTGTCAGACTCACTCCATCCATTTGCTAACCCCTTACTAATCCTGGCTTGCTCACCCCACTGGGGAGGTTCACCATGGGTCCTGCCCCTTGACTCCTGCATGTTCACGGAGGGCAGGGGAGCAGGCAAAGAGAGATGCCTTTCATGTCTACTGTGCCCCCGAGAGATGGCTTCAGGTTTGGAAGGAGAAGTCGGAAGCATTTTGTTTTCTGCAACAGTCCAGCATTGAAAGCAACAAGCCAGGAAAAATAATGGGGGGGGGGGGCATATGAGAAAAATGCCACTTGAGTTTGCAGTAACGTAAAGCAATTCGCTTACACCACATTTTGGCCCTGAGACTGGCTTAGCATCAGATCTCTTTGGAATAATAAGCCCAGCCCAAGATTCAGAAATCTGACATTAAATTGTTGAAGTCGCCTCTTGAAAGGATTGGCATATGGGTGCTCCTCCTGCTTAGTGACCCCTCGTTCAGCAACCGTTCAGACTTGCAGACAAGCAGAGTCAGTGGGGAAGCCAGAGGGCGTCACAAGAGGAGACCACACAAGGTCCTTGCTCAACAATCTTTGGTGATTGGCTTAACAACAGCAGCTGGAACTGCCAGAATTACCATCGTTAAGCAGCCTGGTCGTGTGATGTCATGCTATAGGATTGCGTTGCTTAATGACAGCAATTCCAGTCCCAGTTCTTGTGGTTAACAAAGGACTGTGTAATATTATATGATTAAGATACTTCTGAAGTAACTTCTAAGGCACAACTATGATCAGAATCCTTGTAAAATAAAGTTTTCTCCTCTAACCAAGGTGACTACTAGTGTGGCATTTACAGCCTGAACCCCTGGGAATCTTGATTTCCATTGCCATTGTCCCCAGTTCAGTAGTCCTCATGAAAGCACTTATTTGTAAGAGCCATGGTGGTGCAGTGGTTAGAATGCAGTACTGCAGGCTAATTCTGCTGACTGCCGACTGCCAGCAGTTCAGCAGTTCGATCCTGACTGGCTCAAGGTTGACTCAGCCTTTTATCCTTCCAAAGTCGGTAAAATGAGGACCCAGATTGTTGGGGGCAATTATGCTGACTCTGTAAATCACTTAGAGAGGGCTGTAAAGCACTGCGAAGCGGTGTATATCAGTCTAAGTGCTGTTGCTATTTGTGGATTGTCGATTGCTTAGGAGGAAACGGTTGCCACGCTAGGGAATAAGGCCGAGTTCTATAGAGGAGCGTCTTCTGGACGATACTGTGGATAAGAATCTGCCCTTGCTATTAGGTGGCACCTGAGAGACGAAGGCACAGGGTCTTCGCGTGGATTTTTCCACCTTTCTTCCTCCCCGGCAAATGAGCAGAAATCCCTTCATCCCCCTCCCTGGAGGAGCAGCCAGCAAGGGACGGTTTCCTCTGAATCCAAAGACGAGTGCCTTAGGAGGCATGCAGTTGTGGTGGTGGTGCCGCCAAGGGCTTGGGAACCTTCCTTGTTGTGAAGAGAAAGGGTTGTGTAGCCCTAGTGGCATGACGGGTCCAGGAGGCTGGCTGTTTTTCCTCCTCCCAGAGAAGGTGGAACTCTGCAGTTATGGCAGACTCAAGGCTAAAGCACATGTGAATCCAATCTGAGCTGGTCACCGGCACCAAAGGTTTATGCTTCCAAGCTTTTGGGCTCGTGCTGCAACCCATCCTCCAGGAATGAGCGAGCAGTTAGCTGAGGAAACCTGAGCAACTTGATAGCTTCGCATCGCAGTGAACAAGGACCTGCATTCAATTTCACAGCTACTAAGATTGTTGGCTGAGCTGGGACAAAAATAGCCAGAGAAATAATTGAAGCCTGGGAAATCAATAGGAGTGCTGATTTACTACTAGCTTACCAGGTATTTAGGAGCCGAGGGTGCAACGGCACAAGGAAACAAGAATCAGTTGACTTAATAGCCAACCATCAACAGCCTAATTAACAATTAAAAGCCACGCACAACAAGGAATCATATAAATACAAGGCATAGAACAGCCCAGTGCACACATTCTGGAGAGAGAGAGGTTGGTTCCCTGATGATGAGCCCGAAAGCTTTGGAAG